AACCTTGAAAGCTCACGAGATCAGGATGGTCTCACGAGGCTAGCGTTTTTATACGTCAGCCTGAATGTTGACAATATTTTCATTGGTCGGTGTGCGCACCAAGCAGGGGTTAGTTAGTAATGGGCTTTGAGAGAGTGCAATCTGTCAAACTAAATTTTAAAACAATGCAACTTGTAAAATTCAACCTAAAAAAAGAGAAACTTGAGGAAAAAAAAAAAGTTGGATTTGGGAAAACAGCAGTTACTCTCAAAACCTTTTCCTGTTTAATATTTCCATTTACAAAGCCTGCTTTTAGCTTGCAACAATAAAGGAACAAAATGAACTCCATCCAAATCAAACCAGCTAGAACCCTAACCATTTCAAAAACAATTTAAGGCAGATTTAACGAGCACTTCCAATAAGAAAGCCAGAAAAATAAAGCCACATTTTTGGATTAGTGAGACCAAACAAAAAACAAAACAAAGTCATGATATTTGGTCTAATAGAATAAAATTGAGTAAAGTACTTTTAAAAGTAAGCTTTCCCCTGCGCTAAAATGCTCAGGCTATGTTTTGGTTAAACACTATAAGGGTATACCTAACTATTGAAACTGTCATGAAAAACTTTCTACTCAATTTTATATTATATATTTATAATATATTGATGTATACATTTTATGCTCATATGCCTAATTTTACACCTTTTCCCTTTTTGTCATTTTGATCTTGTACACCAGATATTCCCAAATTGAAGCAAAATGGACTAATGATTCAAATTAAGTTAAAATTTAGAGTAATACAATTATAGAAATAATAGTAATGAAAACATCAAAAAGCATTTTTTGTTTTTGTCTATTTCTAAATGATGTTTCCATATCTATTACCTTAAATGTCTCAGATTTATTTAGGTAGGAACCAAACTTGTGGAATCAGTGTCGTAGACCTAACATATTATCTTCCTAATTCAAAATAATTGTTAAAGTAGAATCCAATTAAATTCTGGATCGAGCCTAAGATTAGCAACTTATCTCCCAATTAGCTCTACCTAGGAGGGTTTAATTTTAAACTAGAACACGGTTTCATACCAAGGAAGGGAGAAACAAAAAAGGGTAATTTCTTTATTACATCCATCAGAAAATAATTAGGAAACAATTTGTCAAAGGAAAAAAAAAGCTGTATCCTACAGAGACAAGAAAAAAGCAACATGATCACTGGAGGGGAGAAATAAATGCACCGACTGCAGAAGGTAAGAAATCTATACAAACTTTACATGAGCGGCCACAAACCTTCTGTCAAGTAAAAAAAAAAGTGTTGAGCAAAGCATTGGGCTATGGAAATAATAAAAACAAAAATACAGAGATCTACATGATAATACAGGACATCACTGATGTCAGCTGCTTTTCACAAACAAACCTGTAGGGGGCGACAGACCCGCCGGTTCATTTAGCAAACTCAAACAAACAGCTGTGGCAGAGAGAACATTGAGTTCTGTCAGGTTACCTCCTCAACCAGGAGAAACGTACAATCAAAGTGCAACTATAGTGAGCTGGAGACAGCGCCAGCTTCTCCTCCTCAGGATTTTACTCATTTCCAACAAACCAATGGCTTAAAAAGCAACAACCCATCATTAGATCTTTTTTTTTCATTATTGGTTAGAAAATATAAATATCTCTGGTGTAGAAAAATATCACAGATGATTTATTTTCAGTACAAATAGAAGAAAAAAAGAAATTCTTGGCAAAAATTCGACTGTCCAAAGTCAGAATGGAGAAGATGGGTTAAAATGATGGGAGTTTGTTGAGGAGCAGACCGTCGTATGAAGCGCAGCGTTTTGGTTGGCTAGGATTTACAACCTTTGGACTTTCTGAAGGGAGTCTTTTTTTCTTTTTTTTGAGAGAGATTCCTCGTCTTCCTAATCCTCTGCTCCTAAGCTAGCCATTTATGGAGAAAATTGGGGGGAAAAAAACCAAACCAGGGCGTGTTTAAGTGAACAAAGCCAGTCTTGAAGACGTTAGTCTTCATGTGTTCTGGGTGGATCCACCTCGCTTTGGCCCAAAGCCTCTGCTTCAGTCCTGCACCTTTTGGCCGGCCTGTCTTGTGCCACAGCTGGTGCGGTTTTGTGCTCTAGCACAAGCTCTAGTGAGCCGTTTCTGTCGTGGTTCGCTGCGCTGACTTGGCTGCAGCCGTTAGAGTTGTTGTCTGGGGCTGAAGGAGGAGGTTCTGCCTCTGGATGAGAGGGACCGTTGGACTGAACGCCTTCAAGCTTGACTTGGGTTGGATCTGGCAGATGAGACGGATCTACAGGATGACCCACAACACCTGTTAAAGAAGAAGAAGCATTATTAAACTATATTAACACGCCGCCATGCAGTGATTTTTAAACAATTTTATCAGATTAAAGACAAATTCACGCAACCATGCATTAATATTCAAGGGGCATTCTTGTTTTTTTCAGTAATCTCAACTCAGTAATCTGAGAGTAAATTATTAACCCTGGATTTATAGTTAAAAAAAAAACAGTTCAAGAGTCTGGAAACAAAAAACAACATAAACTTTAAAAGATTGTTAGGTTATGTTTATACCAGAAGACTGAATGCAAGGTCTTGTCTGCTGGATAAAAAGAAAAAAGAAGAAGAAAAAAAACTCAATCAAATGATGATCTTAGTTAAAAATTGTGTCCATTAAATCATCTCAAACGGTTCTCTAGTTTTTCCCCTAAGTTTTGCTTCTAGTTGGGTATTTGGTTGGACAGTCAGAGAGTGCGGCCGGCAGAGAAGGTAAACTGGGTGCTAAGCAATCTAACCTCACCTGCGTTCTGAATAAGTTTGGTATTTCTGCGTTTAAACACACTAGAATCTATTTGGTCTCGTATGGAGTGAATTTTGCGTTATTATTGTTGAAAGCACACAAAACATTTGTGAATGGAAAATGTACTTTTTAAAGGCACACTATGCAACATTTTTCAGTCAATTAATGTGTTCCATAACGTTTTGGA